CACACCCAGATATAAGATTATTAGTTGAGCTAAATGATAAGGAGAGTGTGGAAGAGTAAGTCCTAGCAACTATTATTCAAGTAGGTTTGTATATACACAATGTGTCTTAGGGGTTAAGTAATGTTCTCGATTGAATGAATTAGTTCCTATCTACTTATTTCTCTAGCAGTGAAGAAGATTCCTCAAGTGACAATGATGCCTCACACAATGGTGTGCGTACCGAAGCCAGTCAGGTGTCTCAATGGCGTCGTTCCCCCGCAATTACCTTCTCTCTTCGCAACTTGTTTGTCGAAAAATTAATTATTCCCGCACTTCTCGCCGAATTCCCCTCCACATCTGATGAACCCTCAAATCTCGATGGTTTCGTGAATCGATCACCCAATTTCCGTTATGATTGCGATCTCCATCCCTACCCGTCCTCAAATGGTGCTAAAATAGGTTGGTGTTGATGTCGATTGTCTGTATGGTATTGCGTTGTGTCCACACGGCATTGCATCCTATGAGGCGTTACAGATCTCAGGGATTTTTTTCTGCCATTTGATTGCACACACGGAAGGGTTTGTTAGTGCTTTGCTCAATAGATAAATAAATGTGCTGTGGGTATCAATGGCAAACTTGTTAGCATGCACACTTACTTAGCCATTGATTAGTTGTTCGAAACCAAATGCACATTCCTTATGTTGACATGGTCAAAATATTGATTATTGGTAGTCATTATTTATTTATTTCAAATGGTAGGCGTTTTGATATCTATCATTACCCTTATAGCTTCACAGAGGGGAGGAGGTGCATCAAAGTGACAAAAAGACGAGAGGGGGGGGGGGCAGAATAATGACTCACAGATTTAAAGGAGGCAGACAAGCAGACACAAAGACAGAGAAAAGGTAAGTTGAGTACTGTGGAAGGGGTCGAATATGACTTACAATGAGGTCATGAAGTCAACTGCCAGTTAATAGACTTTTTTTGCCGTATTAGTATACGTTGCCCAGGGTGCACCACGTGGAGGTAAGTCTATCGTACACCCCTTGGTAGTCAATATAAGGTCGTGGAGATGTGACTCTCTCTTCTCAGTAACGCTAGAATGCTATTGAGAAATGCGAACGCGCTTTTATTCTACAATCTTGTTATGGTCATTAAATTTTTTGCCCATGGGGCGGCATTCCTAATTGCGTGCCCTTAGACGTGGGTAAAGCTCCGAGTGTGAAGAGTAAAATATTGCTTTTAAACTCTGAACTTCTCAATCAGATCCTCATTGCCTTGACTTGACAATCATTGCGACACTTTCTTACCTGACACAAATGTCACTCTCAACTAGTCTGTGTTAATTTGTACTCTTTTTTTAACATGGAAGAATGTGCAGAAAGCTCCCGACTTATTGGACTTACTTCTATTTCAACCCTTCATTTCATGCACTTCATTGCAGACATTTTCATGCGGAGATTAATTTGTCCTTTTTTCTCTTCAATTCTTGGCTTTATGTCATTGGAAAGTTTGAATTTTGCTTTCGCTTGCGTCACCCTAAATCTTGCCTTCCATTCTACTTCCCTATTGCGGATGAATCACTTCCAGCGAAAATGTAGCTGTTTGCTTCCTACTTAAACTGCTGAAGAGCACCGCTCACTTAACGAAGAATGTTGCAAATAGGAAAGTAGTAGAATGTCTTCCCTATGTTAATTGTATTAATGATCAAAAGCGTGATGCCCAAGTCCACACTATTGACACTTTGTCATTTACTACTGTTCATTTTCATATTAATATAAACATATGGGGATAATCGTTGATCTTAATGCGAATTAGTCACTTTTACCGTTCTAAGACCCTTGAGTCGTGAATGTTGAAACAAACGAGACGGATGTGTTTAACACTTTTTTGGATCATTTTTTGTATTTCAGGTGAAGAATCGAATCCCTGTTCATTGCATGGAAGCATACCGAAATCGTCTCCACTTGGTCGGATATTTAGAGCTCAACTGGAAAGCTCCCTATTGCACAAAGATCTTATTGAACCTTATAGGAAGGTCTCAGCCTATTTTGAAGACCAAGATATCTCCTGGTTAGTTACTTCCTCAAATCTCTCTTGGAGAAATGATTGGCTTTTTTTAAAATCATAAATGAATTAAATTTATAAAACTTGGCGTTTACTGACTGCACTCAGTCTTCAATCTGGTTGGTTTAAGTCTTGTATATGTCGTCATTATCCGGGTTTAAAGACAGCACATTCTCGGGACGTTTAGGCAGTCATCTCCATAAACGCGTGTTTTAGGACGCGTTTGCTTAAACCAAATGTAAATATTTTTATTGCAGGGACTCATACATTGGTGGAAAAGTTATCATCAATCCGAAGGAGACACCGCCTAGCCTTATTGAAAGCCTCAATCTCGTGAGTTGTTCTTACTTCTCCACATCTCCCCCCCCCTCTATTCTTATCGATAGCCTTCTTCTAAGGTTGTAGAGATCGTGGTCAAAAGAAGGTCACGTTTACAAAGGGAGTTGGAATGATTGGCTCTAAGTGTTTATAGGCGCAAAAAATTGTATTGTGATGTGGCTTAAAAGGTATTAAAATGCACTCATGTGCTTGCGTCAATTCTCCGACCATTAAGCTAATGCTTATCGATGCACTTTAGTGAAGTGGCTATCTAGCCATGCTTTCTACATCTATTCAATATTATTATTTCAAATGACAGGCGTTTTGAATAGTTATCATTGCCCATTTAGATGACTTCAGGCTTCTAGAGAGGTGGAACATCAAAGTGAAAAAAGTCGAGGGGTGGGGAACAAAAGCGTGATTTACAGATGTAAAAGAGACAGACAAACAGACAGAGAAAAGGTAGGATGAGTACTGTGGAAGTGGTTGGGTATGACATACAGTGGGATCGTGGTAGTTTGAAGTCAGAAATCAACTGCTGAATAATAGAACTTTCGCCGTATAAGTGCACGTTGCCCTGGGTGCATCACGTGGAGGTAAGTTATTGCACACCCCACATCTGTTCAAGGTGGGAACATTGAATGTTCATTTCTCATATTAGTAAAGTTTAAGCAACAAGCAATCATCTTGCCACATTGAATTCTTCTTCAGCATTATATCCTTGGTCCTTTCTTCCGCGCAGAATTATGTTTACTTATTGTTATTCTTTCCGGCAAGTTCTTCATTCTCGACTGAATGTTAGTCTAGCCTTTTTCAGTTATCTTGTGCCAACGTATTTGAAATCTCACGGAGTATGAATGTGACTATGTATTTGGACTCTATTATCTAAAATAGTTAAATCAATGATTCTTTTTAAAAAATATATATAATTCTTCAGAATACTTTAAATCTAGTTTATTTTAAAAATTTCGATTTTAGATCGAGAAACATTTGGTTGCGATGGTCGCCCGTGACTGCTCAATTATGATGACCTTCCGAAGATCTAATAAGGAGTAATTTTTTCTTATTGATTATTTAAGTTCCGATTTGTTTAAGTTGGCTTTCTTCCGTATCTAGATTTGTAGCTGATAATTATACAAATAGGCAATTAAATGTCAAATTCGAGGCTGAAACGTACAACTAGTCTCTAACATATCCCCACCCCTCGCCTCTCCCTCCCCCTACATATTAGCTACAGCGTATCCCAAGTTGCGGGTACAAAAGGGGTATAGAATGTGGGGAGTTTATCGCAGGAATGAACGAAGCAAAACGATTCAACGCTATAATTATTGGCTACGAGGCCTCTGCACGCACTGCAGGCTTGCTCATTGTGCTTTCACTAGTGCGTTCGTATTTTTCGGAAATTTCTAGCATATATCAGCTAGGGTGGCGTTATGCCCTCCATGAACAATTCCGAACTACAAAATATATTAGATGCCAAAATGTTTAGAACTTAGATCTAGTATTATAATTCTTTTGAAGATCTCTGTGACTGATACTTGTGATGGAATATGCGAAGAGATGTAGAGTATACTTTCTTTTAGTGGTATGCTTTCGAAATAAATGGTGACAACTTTCTCCTTAATTTTCCAATCTAGATTTAAATTAACTAATTTTATTCATTTTAACATTTTAGTTGTCCGGATAATATTTTTACAATTGGCGGCGAGGGTCAAAGTATACCCAAGACTATTGTTTATATCAGTATCGTAGATTTGGATCCGAAAGAATTGAGCAATTTACAAGAGCGCGTGGATTCTGAACATCGGGTTGTAAAACAATTTCTAGCAGCCAGAGCAGAAATGGAAATTTGAGAGAAAATACGTTGCAATACCTATTTTTGATTTAAACTCCGTATTTGTGATCTAATTATAAACGCGGACATATGGTCAATAAAATTTGCATATTGGCATTTTATGCGTTTCAGTATTTGTAATACGAAGTTTATTGTTCTAAGGTGTTCATTAAAAATGTGAATTTTGGCTTCTTAGGCCAACTCTAAAACTGGATGATCCTCTTCTGGAAGTAGGCGAGATGACAGTTGTCATTAAAAATTAATTCCAGTACTCAGTAATATGGGTTAGGATTTAGAAAGTGAATTATTCAAAAATATCAAGAAATACGCATTTTATTTAGGAAGTTCTACCGAACAGATGGTTGATAGATATTAATGTTTGAGTAATGCCTTTCAAGTTTATATTACATGTGTAAATAAGCGAAGTTATCATTTAAACGATTTAAAGGGAACAATGCTAATATCGAGATTAAAATTTGTACAGCATTCAGAAAAATTCTTTAATTATGTAAGACATATTAATATGGAGATATTATAATAAAATCAAGTTCTTAGCATACCGTCGTACTTATGAGTCTTTTTGGTTTGATTCGAAATATTATACAAAAATTGTTAACTAGACTTATTAATGTTAATTTTAACTACAAATACCAAAAACTAAAAATATTCCATTATTTAGATAGCAATAAAAGTTACTAAATGTGTAAAAAACAGCACGCTTAATTTGTGTTTTATAAAGTGGTCGTATAAACGAAAACTAGTTGCGAGATTATAAAATTTTCGACCTTGTTGACTGTAGAGCATGAGTGCCGTCATAAAATTTATTACTGATAAACTAACATCTCCACCTTTTAATCGAAATTTCAATTACATTACTTTTGACAGTTTGGAACCAAATCTCTTACTGCAGTTACTTGTTGATATTTTTGGTGAACTTGATCCAATTGTACTTTTAAATAATTTTTAATAATATGTTAAGCATAAAATAGATATTAGAGATGAAACTCCAGAAGCTACTACGATGAGAATTCTTGGAGTTTTAAAGATGCTTAGGTATAAAATACCTTCCGAACCCGACGATGTGTAAATATATTATAATATATTCACTGGCTTGCATAGGTCAAGGCTATGCGAATCCCTTATTATCGGCGATAAAACTTGCATACATTCTATTATGGAGTCAGTTTTGCAGAATTTTGAAGAGCATAGAAAGCGGTGTTACCTATCAAAATTTCTATCAAAAGTTCAAGTCCCCGCTGATTTCATGCAGGATACAGATCTTAGCAAACTCTTTTTGGAGGTAAAGGAAACTTGTGTTGCAACATGAACTGTGATGCTAAGATATTCGCTTTCCAGAATGATATCGCAAAGTTGTACACTTTTTAAATATTACAGCATGAGTCATTAATGGAAGCGTTTAAAAAGGCTCATAAGCAATTAGAGTCTATCAAATCTGGAAGTTTTTCCACTTGTGAAGTGAAAAATGATATAGCAGTTATGCAAGAGGAGAAGGACCAACTCCTGCGTCGTATTAGCAGAATGAAAAAGAAGGTAGTGTTATTCTACTAATTTTTGTAAGTAGCAATAATACTGTTTCCAACTTTTTGAGCGTTTTTAGTTGGAGATGTTCCCTACAACTATGACGATGCTTGAGGTGGCTAGGAAATTAAGGTTGGAACGCGAAAGGGAGGCTAAAATAGCTCATCAACTACAAGAACAGAGAATTATGGTAAGAAAACACATTCGACAATTAGACAATGCCTAATTCCTTTTCCAATAGATACAGAATTTAGAGGGTAAAATGGTCGAAATCCGCCAACAATCTAATGAGCTCCAAAGACGTTCAGCGGACTTTAATGCTGAGAGTAAGTAGGCTAATGTATTTATATTCCAGTTGACAGACAAGTTAAACGAGTATACTTCAGAAAATGGTATTAATCAGTCTTACACGTACAACAGAACTAAATATTCGTCTTGACACACTTCATTTATTTTATGACTGAAATACTACTTCAAGGTTACGTGATTTTCCAGATGAATCAAATTTAAAGTCGATATGAGAATATTTCTTTTTTTGAACTCAGATTAAGTACTAATAAGTGCATCAATTTGTTTAGAATATAAATTACCCTATTCTTCTCCATGGGTTTTAGGCCTTGTAAATTTGTAAACTTATTCCTTTTTTGAAATTCCATTTCCATAAAATTTCCACAAAAACTAAAGTGAAAAAACGTAGTCTACGTCTGATTGTGTTGAAATTTTCTGGACTAAAAGTAATGCTTTCTCCTGTTAACTCCCCAAAAAAATAGTTTGACCCGATTCCCATCTCAGAACCGCTAAATTATCAGAAATCAGAGAATTCGAAAGTTAATAACTAGGTTCGTCAGAGGTTTGCATGGACATCTGAAAAACTTAGATTGAGGTCATGTAATGAGCCCAAGGTTACCTGTCAAAAAATAAACAGGCTTAGTTGACATATATGAAGCATTTACTAAGTAAAGTAATTACCATTGACACAGACACTTCGAAAGAATTGTATGGATGAAATGCGGTTAGCATGTATTTGAATAGCGATTATCGAAAATTATGGTATTCATTTCATTTTTTGAGGAAATATTGCACGTTTATTTATTTTCTCATATATTTACAAATAGCCCACCATCTACAACAATGATCGAAAATTATATGCCTTTAGTCTCTATGCCCTTGAGTTTGCAAATGGAGCTTTATCTACTTTCTTGGATTTGGGCTGAAATTCCATTTATAAGTGCATGAAAATACAGACATAAGTGTTTATTAACAAAAAAATTTTGCAGGACATAGAAAATATTGAAAATCAGTGCAATTAAATGACGACTGCACCCAAAAATTCGTCTTACAAATATTTTGGTGTCTAAAATTAATTTTATCAATCTAAATTGGCCATAGGACTAAAGTATGCCCACACCAACGCTGAGGAATTAGCGGCGTCGATAATTTTCATTTTATCTCTGAGTACAAGTGATATCCTCGATAGCATCTAACTCATTTTTAATCTGAGAACACAGTCCAAGAGTCGAAAATCACCATTCGTGCATATGAACTGTTACTTGCATGTTTGCCGATGTCTAGTCTTTTTTCCCACTGTTTTTTTTTCACCTCACAAGGAAATTTGCACGTGCATCTCATGAGTTCGAACGAAAGATTTGCTCCAACTAATTCTTGTTAATTTTTGAGAGCTTGATGAACAACAATAAGTCACAGAAATACAAGGCATATATATTTTAATAATGAGTTTTTTTCATAACATTATGGTTCAAAACATTGCCAAAATGAGCCATTAGAATAAACAGTTCAACCTTCTAAGTATTAAAACTAAATCAATTTATACTGGTCGAGTTAAAGAGGCTATGCAATTATTTTGAAATGTCATTAATGCTGTAACTCATGACAATATATTTATTTATTTCAAATGGCAGGCATTTTGATAGTTATCATTAGCCCTTTAGTTGA